CCCGGCGCCCGAGCCAGCGCGCACGGCGGCCCGGCAGGGCTCTTCCTCGCCGCCGACCCCGCGCGTCCGCGGCCCGCGAGCCACCATGTCCGACCCCGCGGTCAACGCGCAGCTGGACGGGATCATCTCGGACTTCGAAGGTGGGTGCCGCGCCGGCCGGGCCCGGGACGAGGGCGCAGGAGGGAAGCGGGACCCTCCCTCCCCCGGACAGAGGCGCCCCCCGCCGAGAGCGCCGTGCGCCGGGCCCGCGTCGCCGACGTGGGGACCCAGCTCCGGGAGACCCGCGAGGAGCGCGCACGCCCAGCTCGGCGCTGCCTCCGCGCCGTCGGTCGGGCTCCTTCCTTTCCTGTTGTTTGTGTTCTCGGAGCAGCAGCGACCTCCTGGGTGGCGCGCGGGCTGCTGCGGAACCGCTTTGGGCGCAGTTTCACTTGGAGCCAATCTCCGTCTTCCTCCCTCGCGCCTCGGCGGCTTTCGGGCCGGGCCTTGCGGCGGCCGGAGAACTCCGTTGCCCACCCAGCTGAGTGGGCGGCCGCGTCCGGCTCGGTGGCGGCTCTCCCATCCCCCACGCACTTCTGGGCCCGGGCTCAGTGGAATCCGGCAGGGGACGGCCGCCAACCAGGCACCCGTGGGCGGCGCGCCCCAGCAGACCGGCCCAGGCCACCTCCAGGCCTGAGGACCCCCTCCTATGACCCCGGGGCCGTGTGGCGGGGAAGAAGGGGCCTACGTGCCGCGGGGAAGCCTTCTGCCCCCTCCCCCTTCGGGTTTACACAGTGTGGGGGGACTTTGGGGGCTTTTCCCGTCGGGTGTGGGTCTGGCTTTCCGTCCCTGGGTCTGTGTGTGTGTGTTTTCTTGTGTCCTCGTGACTGCCTGTGGCCTTGCGCTCGCGCCCTGCGTCCCGGGGAGTAAATACTGCAGTCGGAAGCGCACACAATAGTTTCCAGCAGTTCTGGGGCCTGGGTTGCTGAGGGGCGGGCCTGCCTCTGCCGGGCCTCTGCCCCAGCGGCGGGGCTCGCAGGCAGCCTCTGCCGGCAGAGGCGTCTGCTGGGCTGGGCTGAGAGGGTGCCAGACCAAGATGGGCAGTGAGGAGCCTGGGGTCCTGCAGCCTCCGATGGCCAGGACCGGGGCCTGAGCCCAGCGCGCACGTGGTCCACCTCTGGTCAGCCCCATCAACAGGGGGAACGGGGGTTGGGGGGCGTTGGGGAGGGGAGGCAAGAGCCTTCCAAATTCTGGGTTAGGGGGATGTTGAGGAGAGGGGGTTGTGGTCCCGCCTGTCTGAACCCCAGTGGCCGTCCATCTGTGCAGGGCATGGAACAGCATGCCCACTTTGTCTACTCAGTGAACCTTTCTGTCCTGGCAGCCCTGGAACAAGGGGGTTTGGGGTCTGAAAAGTTAGGATGATGAGGTACCTGGATCATCTTGACCTGAGAAGGGGTGCATGCTCGTCCTGGGGTCCCCCCTAAGTCTGCCCTCCTTGAAGCAGTGGCTGCCTGGGGCCACGTCTTGGCTCCTGCAGGGGCTTTCCTCTCCTGAGTGCCTCAGCTGAGGCATATTTTAGTCTGGCCCAGTGGGGCCGTGGGACAGCTGCCTCTTCAGGTAAATGCCATGGGCACTTTTTCCTGGTGGCCTGTGGGGTGGAGGTCTCTGCTGTTATTTCCTGATCCGAAAGCGATGCGTTGGCGGAATTTCTGGGGGGACGTGGGGGTGGGGGCCTGTGCAGATGGGGCAGCTGGAGTGGTGCACGGTCTGACAGCCCCAGGGCTCGTGTGCTCCGTCGGCCTTGCCCTGGTGACGCAGCCCGAGATGCTGGCCGCCTCTGGGGATGCCGCCCAGGAAGGCTGCTTTTTATTTATTTTTCTGGACAAGATAGCTTCTTGACCCTCTAATTTAGCCGAGGACAATGGCTTCATTGAGACAGGCCTTGTGGGACAGCTGGCAGCTCTTCTGACTGCAGGGGAGGATTTCAGGCTCGCAGGGAGGGGCCTTGGAGGAGGCTTTGGGTCACTGTGTGGATCAGTGTCCCCGGTGGGTGCTGGGGCCCCCGGGGACATGCTCCACCTATCCCAAGTGGCTGCTGAGTGTGTGTGTGTGCACAAGCGTGTGCCTGCGTGAGTGTGGGGGTGTGCATGAGTGTGTGGCTGTGGAGTGTGTGTGTGCATGAGTGTGCATGTGGGGATGTGTGAGTGGGTGTGCATGTGGGAGTGTGCGTGAGTGTATGCATGAATGTGGGGGGTGTACATGAGTGTGCGTGGGGCGTTGCATGAGTGTGTGTGGGTGTGTATGCAGGAGCATGTATGCATGAGTGTGTGTGTGGGTGTACGTGAGTGGATGCCAGTGTAAGTGTGCACCAGCATGGGTGCACAAGTGTGTGTGTGTAGGTGAGTGTGAGTGTACATGCATGTGTGTGTGCATGGGTGTGTGTGTGTGTATGATTGTGAGTGTGTGTGAGGGGTGCTGGCTCAGTGGGCATGGCTGACTTGGGGGGACAGGAAGGCAGTGGTCCCCAGGACTTGCACTTACAGTGGAGTTGGTGGGGGAAGTTGTGTGGGTCGGAGGAGGACAACCTCAGATGGCACCTCGGACATGGGGCAGAGACGGCCAGGAGGGCAGAGTGTGCAGTCCAGTGCAACAGCGGGTGATGCCCTTGTCAGCATCAGGCAGAGAAAGGTCACTTGGGGCTGAGCAGAGGAGTTGGTGTGGAGGAGGACTGTGGGCCTGGAGTCCGAACGTGCTTGCGGGAGGAGGGAGGGGCTGGCCAGAGCCAGGGAGGCCTGGATGAGCTGGGCTGTCGGGGGCTGAGGCCTGAGGAGCAGCCAACGTGTCCAGGTTGCATGGCCGGCCTTGGAGGTTCAGGATGCAGCCTAGAGAGTGGACCATGCAGGGTGAGCAACTGGAGGGGCCGGGCGAGGGGGCCGCTGCCGGGGACTGCGCGGTTCATCTGAAGACGGAGAGCAGAAACTGGCAGACCTCGGGAGCAGCCTCAGTGGCCTCCGTGTTCCCGGACGGGGGGACACGGTTGTCTTTTCAAGTTGGTTCTGAAGGGTGGAGGCCCATGGGCCAGCTGTGAGCAGGCCAGCTCCTCAGGGGTAGCTTTCAAACTGAGCAGACATCTACCCTAGAATCCTGCAGCCAACTCAAAGGGAAGTTTGGGGCTTGGGGCAGTGTCCAGGGCGGACAGGAAGCTAGCTGGGGCAGGTGGCAGTGGGGGTGGCCAAGCCAGAGCAGCGTCCCCTGCAGGGCAGTCTAGGAGCTACTTGGGGCTGGGATGGTAAGGGTGGGGGGCTGAGGGGGTGTGAAGGGGTGCGTGCTCAGGCCAGAGCGGCATCTTCTCTAGGCAAGACATTACCCTAGTGTGTGCATGTTTCTGCAGATTGTGTGTGTGTAGACGTGTGCACATGCGTGCAGGATCAGGGGCCTTGAGTGATTCCGGTGTGTATATGTGTGAGTGTGCACACGCATGTGTGCATGCAGGAGTGGGTACCTTGAGAGTTACCCTGGTGTGTGTGTATGTACACGTGCAGGAGTGGGGAACTTGAGTTACCCTGCTGTGTGTGTATGGGCGTGTGTGAGCACATGCGTGCAGGAGCAGGTGCCTTGGATTAAAATCCTGCCCATGCCCTACATCCTGGGTGCATCTGTCTGGCCCCTGCACGGGGAGAGCCCTTCTCTCTTCATCTTTTTGTTCCCTGCCTGTCTCCGTCCCCCTCAAGGACTCGGAGCCACAGTGTGGAATCTGTAAGCCCCATCCCCGAGGGGCTGCATGGAAGTCTGTCCACCTTCCATTGTGGCCGTTGTCTGTTGGGTTCTGGGGTCCCCAGGACCTGAGGATGGCAGTGTTCCCCAGGGACACCAACCTCACTTCAGAGTCTTGGGGTGCTGCACAGACCCTCTCTCTGTTTGGGGGCAGGCCAAGTGTTTTGTATTCTGCTGAGGCACTTTCTAAGTCTCCTTCCCCGTTGCCCTACGGTGCCCGTCACCCCTGCGTGTCGGGTGACGAGGGTGACACTCTGCTCTATCTTGCTCTCACTCAGCGGAGCCCCAGGCAGCTGGACAGCTTGTTCTTAGCTGATACGGGCCAAATTCGTTCTTGCGAACACTGTTACGACCTGGGTCTTTGTAGAACAAGGCCAGCTGTTGGCCTGTTTTCCCAAGCAGTGTTTGCTGTATCCAGATTTGCGTGCTGGGAGAGAATCCGCACGGTCCTTGATGTTTATTGAAACAGAATCTAGCCCAGGACCCAGGTGCTCAAGCTTAGAGCCACAAGCCGCCCTTCTCCTAAGCCCTCCGCTGTCCCCGTGGGAGGAGTTTCTGGGCTGTGTCTTGGAGTCTGGGACTTGAAAGGACGGGGGACCAAGAGGGCATGACAGGGTCCCTGGCAGGAGGGCAACCTGCAGACCAGGCCGCGCGTCTGAGAGCCCAGGCTCCTCTGGGAAGGGCTGTGATGCTGGCTGCACTCTGCTCCCAGGAGGAGACCTGTTGCTTGGTGATGGGGCCCTAATTAACTCGAGGGCCTCTGAGGCTATTCACCCTACTCTCCTGCCGAGATGCAAGGCCTCCCTCCCTCCGAGTCACCCCTTTGCAGGAGCAGTGGAGGTGGCAGCGCCTTGCTGGGTCTGAGCGGAGCTGGCTTTGCTGGGACCCTGTGGTGTGGTATCCCCTGCAGCTGAGAGGGAGTGGGTCCGTTTTTATGGATCCAACAGCCTTTACCATCACACCTGGCACTGCTCTTTGTGTCCAGAGCACAAGGCCAGGCGGACCCGTTGTCCTGGCTTTGAGCGTGTGTAATTCACAGGGAGGGCAGGTCAAGCGTCGGCCGGGACGGGGCGCCCGACTGGTCAGCTGGGCTGGGGCTGGACCTGAGCCAGACGTCTGGGGACAGTGCGGTGGTGAGGGGAACACCCTGCACCTGGCCTCGGTCTGGAAGGCGGGAGGGCGTGGCTCTCCAGGAAGGTTTTGAAGAGGGGTAGTGGGCAGAGTTTGCGTTGAAGGGGAGAGTGGTGTCTACAGCAGCCCACGGGGGGTAACACTTAAGGGGACAGGTTGGGCAGCCGGCCCACCTCCCTCTGCCCGTTAAAAGCCATGTGACCTTGTGTAAGTTTTTCAACCCCTGGGCTGGAGTTGGCGCATCTGTAAACTGGGGGTA